GCAGAGGAGAGGGTTTGGGAATGAAAATGATTCAGTAGCTATGCTGGCTTCCTCTACTGCTGACTCCCCCTGGTTTGCCTGTACAGTCTGAGCTACTTCTGGCAAGGCTTTGCTTTCTTTGCCCTGGGTAGACCTTTGTAGTTGTTCCAATTCTAGTTCTGTGAATACTTTATTTTGTATTATAAATCGATATTGATCTGCTAGCCTCTGTTCTGTTATTTCTGATTCTGGATGTTCTTTCCAGAACTGGTGCATTCTTTTCAGATATCCTCTTCTTGTTGGACTTGATTTGTAATAGCAGATCGTTATTTCTTTGTGTATTTGTGAAGGGTAAGCAACTTTTCTTCCAGTAGTCCTGCAGCTGCTGGCCTTGGTTGCTCAGCCAACAGTCCTGAGTCCTGTAGCCCACTTGTTACCAGATGTCCGGGAACTAGAACACCTAGTGAGGTCCTTGTTGACTGAGATGATGACCGATCCAGTATAGGTTTCTGTAAATTACATCTCACCATATTGTTTATGGAAGAGGCACTCTTCGTTTGGCTCCTCTAGTCCTCTGTCCAGTATGGTTGAACCTCTGACATAGCTCTCATCCTCCTTGGAGCACTCAAGCCCCACAACCACGTCAAGGTAGTGCCTCACTGGGAGATTATTATTATTATTTGTAGGCAACTTTTTGACAAGTTTCCCAGTTAAGATTGTAGCCTTAAGCACTTACATTGTCACAATTTTGTTCATGCTCTTGAACACTAAATATCATTTCAGTTTGTATGATTTTCTTCTCTTCAGAGCTGAAAAAAACCTGTACATTTAAAGAGATATAATGGCAGACTTGCTTAGGTTTTAATAAACTGTTTAACATGAATTATATTTTTTTCAAAACATTAACTCCAAATAAGTTAGTTTCTACTTCCATCTGAATTCTACTGAAATCAAAGTTAGATATGAGTTTTGACATAAGTTTCTGCATTCCTCTCTTTGATCTCTTCCCTCCTGTAAGCTGTCTGGAGTTGCTTGACTAAATGGCATAGAAATGTTGGTAGGTAAGTAGGTAAGTAAATAAAATAGAAATAGTTTCCCATATGTCCCAGTCCTCCTAAGGATATTTGAACAGCACATTTCACTGGCAGAAAAATAGACATATCAGGCAATCTACAGAGAAAGTAACTTTTTAGGAAAGATGGTCCACGTAAGTTGACAATTCAGGAATATGAAAAGGTTTTAGTTTTTAGGTTTTAATTGGAAAATGATTTTCGTCTTTATTCATTTATTCCCCCCCCCTCCCATTTCTACAGGTCTTGCAGTTGGGCTCTGAAATCCTTTTTAGGAAAGATGGTCCACGTAAGTTGACAATTCAGGAATATGAAAAGGTTTTAGTTTTTAGGTTTTAATTGGAAAATGATTTTCGTCTTTATTCATTTATTCCCCCCCCCTCCCATTTCTACAGGTCTTGCAGTTGGGCTCTGAAATCCTTTTTAGGAAAGATGGTCCACGTAAGTTGACAATTCAGGAATATGAAAAGGTTTTAGTTTTTAGGTTTTAATTGGAAAATGATTTTCGTCTTTATTCATTTATTCCCCCCCCCTCCCATTTCTACAGGTCTTGCAGTTGGGCTCTGAAATCCTCCCGCAATACAAGCAAGAAGCACCAAAGACCCCACCACATATCATTTTACATTATTGTGTTTTCAAGACTACTTGGGACTGGGTGATTCTGATTTTAACCTTCTACACTGCAATTTTAGTCCCTTACAACGTCTCATTTAAAACCAAACAGAACAATGTGGCCTGGCTGGTAGTGGATAGCATCGTAGATGTCATTTTTCTGGTAGACATTGTGCTTAATTTCCATACCACATTTGTTGGGCCTGCTGGAGAGGTGATCTCTGATCCAAAGCTGATCCGTATGAATTACTTGAAGACATGGTTTGTCATTGACCTTCTCTCCTGTTTGCCATATGATGTGATCAATGCATTTGAGAATGTTGATGAGGTGAGTCTGTGAATGTTGCTTCCATATTTTTTAACCATCAATGAAAACAGAATGAAAAGAGGCCAGTTTTCTGGATTTATATCAGCTGTCCTCTATTTACATATATGCTTATATTAATGCTATTTTGCCATCCTCTACTACAACCATTAATTTACAGGAACTTCAGCTGAATGTCAAGAAGTTTAATTCACAATGGTACTTTGAAAAAGCACTATTATAGGGAACTGGTAGGTGAGATGAACTAGCAATATAGTTGATGTTTCATGTGAAATTTACTTACTAATGTTTAGACACAATTTTTTGTTAGGTATTTTGAAATAAAGAATTCAAAGTTGTAAGAAGTATAGGCAGCTTGAAACTCATACATAGCTGAAAGAACATGGGAATGTTTGTGGAGCAAGAGAGCATAATCTATTTTGCTAGAATGTGATAACTGATGAGAACAACACTGAAGGAAATACACCTTCTTAGTTTAGTTTATAAATAAATAAATAAATACATTTTATTACAAGTTTTAAAAATAGGATAAAATCTAATACAAACTAATATAGGGTAAGGAAGAAAAAAGAAAGAAATCAAAGAGAGATCTAAAAGTGCAAGAAAGAAAAAAAATAAAACAAAAATAGAAAACAAAGAAAAAAAGATAGAAAGAAGTGGCTTCCAATCTTTACAGCAGTTATAAGTACAATGATAAATTTACCTCTTTCTCTAAAGTTATATCATGACTCTCTTCTTTCTATAATCTATGCTATCTAATCATTAAAACCATAAACCATAAATTCATTTTTTCCTGCTTTACGCAAAAAGTCTGTAAGGGGTTTCCAGTCAAAAATAAATGTAGATATTGTCTTTTCTCTAATCAAAAAAGTCAATTTGGCCATTTCAGCAAGTTCTATCATCTTCACCAACCATTCCTCCATTGTAGGTACTGCCAAATCTTTCCATCTTCATGCGTACAATAATCTTGCTGCCATTATCATATACAAAAACAAAGTTCCATGACTTTTTTCCAATTGTTTCTCCATCAGTCCCAAGAGGAAGACTAGTCTCAACTGTATATTAATCTTTAAAATCTTCTGAATAAGTGTATGTATTTGAATCCAAAATGTTCTAGATTTTTTACATGTCCACCAAGCATGATT